CCTTGCTATGCGCTCTCCTGATGTGATCTTGACTCACATCAGCAGCACTTCTGGCCAGCTGTTTCGCAGTAGTGCAGACACTAGGATGAAGCATGGATGTGTGAGTTGGTGTTGCTGCTAAGGATGTGGGACGTCAGTGCTGCCTGTCTGTCACATCCTGATGTTTTTTATATGCCCTCCTTTGTACGACTCTATATATGCAGACTTATCCACAGTTCATGGAAGTTGATTACACACAAACATGTCTTGTGGCTTTCCAGTTTTGTTTTGTTTTTGGGTAGTTTGCTGAAATGTGTAACAAAAATGTCCAACACATGGAGGGATAAATAAATGTGCAGCTTTTTGTTTCGGTGCTGGTGTTTTAGAGAGATAATTTCACTCTGATCTCCCCCCATTTCTTTATTACACACACACTTCATGGCTGTAACATTGTTCGTCTCCCTGCACAGACGTTTGTGCTTCATCGGATGGTGAAAGGTGCCAACGCCACCATCCTGCTAACCTGCGCCATCAGCCTGGTTTTCTCCTCTGTCATCGGCTACATGGGCTGTCGCAGCATCCCCTTGTGTGCCTGCTATGATGCCAGAACTGGACTGGTAAGGACAGCATAGTAAAAAATCATAACATGTTTTCATCTCAAATTATTTATTTAGAATGAACAAAAAACACAAAGGTCAAATTTACTCTAATGTGCTGTAATTGTAAGGAACAAGAACCCTGAAAGTCATGATTTCATTTGAAAACGCTAAGATTAAAGCAACATGATAACCCTCACATTAAAATATGAGTAACAGTGTATTTCAGAGGAAGACGACTCTGGTTTTTAACTAAAGAAAAACATGAACTAATAACACGTGCAGAATGTTTTTATGTTGCAAACATACTTGGACAAAGACACGGGTCAGGACTAAATGTGTTTGCCACACAGATTTAAACAAAAAAAGAAGCTACCTATGGTTGTTTTCGTAGGATTGTCCACATTCACTAAGGAGCTGCTAACATTAGCCTAAAATATTAGTTACAGCTTGCTAGTTCCAGCATAGCTCCGCATGTTTCCAGACTAGATGCTGCAGATTTTGGTCCATACTGACAGTTGCAGCAGTTGCTATAGATTTGCCATTTGCACATCCCTGATGCAAATCTCCCACTCTGCCACATCCCTGTAATGGATTGAGGTGTGGTGACTGTGGAGGTGATTTGAGTGCAGCGAACTCGGTGTTACTGAGCTGTTTGAGATGAGCTTTGTGACGCTGTGCAGCCATCAGAAGATGAGCACACTGAAAGACGACATGGTCAGCTTCATTTATAACGAGTCTCCAAAAGTGTCTCCACCATTACAAGTGGCACCAGCATCCTGAGGAGCAGCTGAAAGCCAGGATGGAGCCGTGCGCAGTTGATAACATTTTGGTGAGTCACTGTGACCTGATCGGCTCATAGGAGCAGCACCCAACGGCGTCTTCTGCTTTAGCCCGTTTGATTCAAAGTTCAACAAGGCTGTGCTTTCTGAGATTCTCTTCGCCACACCTTGGTCATAACGGGTGCTTATTTGAGTTCACGTTGCATCAGTGTCAGATTGAAATAGTCTGGCTCTGATCTCTGGCATCAACAGGGAAGTGCAGCACACTATACATTTACATCAAAAGGGCTTTGGACAGGCGTACCTAATGAAGCGGATCCTAAATGTTTGCAGGAAAATGGCCCAGCTGTTTGAGCTGGTTTATTGATTGTGCGATATCAGCAAGCGCTCTCTGATTAGTTTAACGTCTCATTACAAAGTGCTGTGAATTTCCCAACTGTGGGACTAATAAAGCCTATCTTATCTTACGCGTCTTATGATTATTTTCAAAATGATGGTTCCAGTTGGAGTAAACAAGGCAATTAAGGCCAGATATGATTAAGGGTGGGCGTTGTGGTTGTCAGGTTGCTGCCATATAAGTCCAGCGTGTCTTCATTTCTTAGTTGGGTCCACCCCTTGGTTCTCATGTCCAGTTTCCTAAAACCAAGCTGGTGACGTCTTTAAAAAAACCCTTTACTAACCAGTGTGACATAATCACAGTGGGGTTCCCACGAGGCCACACCTGGATGTTCTGTTTTCACTTCAGTTTGTTCACTATGTGTCGTGTGTGTGTTTTCAGGAGAGCCTGGTTCCTCAGTGTGATCCCGGGGACACGGAGATGTGCACTTTGCAGAGTAAGCTTTAAATGTGGATCCTGTGTTAGGAAATTTTCTCAATAATCAAGGTGAACCCAGCATATAACATTTTAATGTGGTGGATTTAGGTTAAGTGTGTGTTGGTGTTTTATCACCAAACAATGATAACAAAGAAAGAAATTTCAGACACTACTCAGGAAATCTCACCATGAAGCCTCTGACAGAGAATGAGACAATCGTGTACAATGAAGCAGCAGGTTCAAAGGTCACGGGGGCATCCACATTAGTGTGCTGCTCTGTCAGGTTTGTGTAGCAGTGTGCCTGATTGGTCTCTAGTGGTAAAAGGAAGTAGCATGAGCACTCTTCCTCTGAAACATATTCATTAATCTTTTTTCTTGTACTTGTCACATGAAGCATTGTGGGAGGGGCTTGAATCTAATCTGCAAAACAACAGCATCGTTTTTCTGATGCCAAACAACATAGGCTGAGCGGGCCACCATTATGATCCAGAGACTTCTAATAAACGTCCCACCCATTAACTAGTCGCGCCTTTATGCACCACAAACTCAGGGGACCTAAGTCTCGCCCGTGTTTCTGTTTTTTGTTGTCCAACTCTCAGCAGTCCTGTAATGAAGTTCTCATGTGTGTCCAGCAGGAGGAGACAACAGGCTGTTTAACTCTCCAGCTCAAACGACTCACAAAGACGATCCAGAAGAAGAGGAGGGTTCCTCCAACCTGCCCCCATACAGCAGACTGACCTGACACCATGCCTGTTGGGGACTTCATACTCCTGCTTGCTTCCTTCTGACTGCAGGTTCATTATATTTAAAGCTAAAGTCTATGGGTTTACTTCTGAGCACAGGCAGAGGCGGAATTACATAATTCAAGTGAAGCTCAAGATGCCAAGTCTTGAAAAACAGGACTTTTTACAGATCTGTTGGAGAGACACGAATTGTTGCGCTGTGGGAGTTTCTTTTGGTTAATGGCCTCACAATTCCACAGTCAGACTCATTTAAACTTGCCAAAGCCTGAACACCTGTGTGTGCGTCGTGTCAGTACTTTCATGTTTAATTCTTTTTACGCTGTGTGAATGACTTTTGCTCTGACTTAATATATTTGATATGTATGCATTAAATACAAATTGGACTGAACTGTTGGAGAGCTGAAACATTATTGCACATAAAACCACAGAATCTCCCTTTTTCTCCACCAGTTTAATGGATTTAATTCATTTCTTTCGGCCCATTTACAGTAAGATATACAGCAATCCTGTCTTGCATCTTTAAAGAACAAAAGTAAACCAAAGGAAGTTACAGTAGAGCCCAGTGTGAAGGCGGACTTGGAATGAAAACAAAGGACACTTTGCGAACAGAAAAAAGCAGCCGAGCCCACAACAATTAAAACCCACGCAGTGCCCACCCCATTCCAGTCACATCACTGACAGGCTCCACAGATGCTTGGGCTGTGAACAGCAAGTCCTGAGAGAAAGTGGTGTTTTCATTTACTGTGTGTCTCTAGTGTACCAGCTGTGGTCAGACATGCACAAACTGACACAAAGCCACAAAATGACTCTATGGACACCAGCAAAGGGGCCGTCGCTGCTTGTGGACGGAATGATGGCATTTATTGTAGAATGCTGCCAGACATGCTTAGTATTATATCACAAGCTTATGTGTAATCTAAGTAGCGGATGTAGACATTACTCCACATGTTAAGACACCTGAGCGACGCACTATGAAGTAGGGAAATCCAAGGTCAGCGCAATGTCTGCAATAACAATTTGCCTGATAGTTAATTTTCCCTTTTTTGTAAAGAAAAAACTATTTAAAACTTGAGTCCCGGGTATTTAACCCTTTGATGAACTGTCCTCTTGGAGGTGGTTCCAGAGCAGATTCACATCTCTAGGTCACGCTAGCCAAGGTGTCAATCCTTCATCAGGCGTCCCCCCCTCCCCACCATCCTGTGAGTTGTTATGGTCACACAGACAAAGGTGTGAGTGAGGGCTTAATGACCTGGGAGGGGATCTGAAGAATGCATCGTGGGTGGATGATGGCTGGCGTCACCGCCACCACATTGATACATACTTAACTTATTTGTTTTAATCATCTGATTGGCCAGCAGAATTGTACCCTACACATAAAAAGCAGTATTTAACCAGTATTTCCCGTAAAGGTTCCCGTTTGACTGACTGAGCACATTCCTTATATGTCATTGCTCCTGAATTACAGACAAGATTAGGAATTGGAAAAGCAATAGCGCCATATTTTTGTGGGGCATCTTAGAACATTAGCATCAATCTAAAATGTTTCAAAAAGCCAAAGGTTTTTCAAGATTTATCGATATCTTAACAAAAATGTATTTAAATTTATTTATTAAGCTATAGGTCCTGTTACATTTTATATTCCTGGCAACTTCTGCAATGCCACAATCTCAGTGTTCATCAGCAGGGTATTTAGTCCCAGTTTTTATGTTATAGGAAAACTACAGATCTTGTTTCAGGAAGCAAATCCATTCAAAAACAAAAACCTGGAGAAAAGAGAGTGAAACAGTGCTAGCTCTTTTCAGACTGTGGTACTCTATTGCAGTATACAAAGGTTCATTTAAAGGCCTAATAATAACAACTGCTGCACACAGACTGTACATACATAGTGAAACAAAAACAGAGGAAATTAGCAAACTAGATTAGCAGCTAGATGGTAGCCATGATTTCCTGGATATTTTAGCTCCAATTATGAGGAGCTATATTAAGGCCTGACATGAAAAAGACTTGATCATTTCCTCACCTTTTATTGGCACAATGTTTCAGTAAAGGTGCGAAAGATAATACCATTTGTTAACTGTCCGCTAATGCTACGTTTACAAACAATTTATTAGCAAAGATTTTGCTCAAAAAACAAATTTGAGTTGTCTCGTAATTATGTGGATGGTTTTGTGCTTCCCTGGGACATTTATCAGGACATTAAGTACCAAGTATATCTACTGGTAGCTGTGGTTAGCAATGACTGTACATGCACTGAAAACACCTTAGCAGTTTCCCCCACTGTTACGAGGAACAGGAAGTGGATTAATATCGTTTTCTCTGAAGCAGCTTCAGCTGTAAAAATAAAAGTGAGCTGACACAGACGGGAGTGGTTCACTAGGTGCGATGCCAGTAGCAGACATCACGGCATGAACTTGATGTTGAATCTTTTTGTTTGGCTGGAAAAGATGTGATGAATTGGTCATAATGGACACATGATTGTTGTACATGCTCCCAGACCCTGCTGTGGTTTGAGGTTGTCCTAATAATTGACAAATAGCTAAAATTTGCCTTTAACTTTACGAAACCACTCTGTAAAACTGTCATTGAAGTAATCATACTTCTTTACTTTCCATCTACTCTTAATATTAAACAAACTTCACTTCGGCATAATAATAAAGTTCATATAGTAGGAGGAAAAAGAAAGGTTGTCCATAACTCAATGAATCAGCCCAAAACCGAGTGGAAAAAACTCCACTTTTTCTATAAAAAGTCAATAATGTGGATATTGTTCCCTCCATGCATTTCATTCCAATTTAGTATTTCAGTGAACTCGTTATGACTAAGTTACACACAGAATATTAATATAAGTGGACAATTTTTTGATCACTGGAGTAAAAGCAACAGGATTTAAAGGCACCCTGTGAAGTTTTCAACTCATAGTTGTAGCCGCTGTTTTTAACGGTCTGCACACTCTGCTAGCACGCGCCCGTTTCTGCTTCTTATAATTAACTTTAGCATTAATGGTGATAACAAGCTAAGAAAGCAAGCAGTTCAGCAAAAACACCCTCAGCTTCTGGAGGGCGACCAATCAGAAGAAAGTGTATGAACAGAGGGGATACACTGGAAATTCAAAGTCCCAGGAATAAAGAATTAAATGTAGTGTTACTTGAGAAAAGTTAGTCTGATGGTGTCCCAGAATAGAAACATAGACCGTGGACTGGGAAGACCAGATCCCATGTGAAATATTCAGAATACTGCATCTGCATATTCACACTCAACATAAACAAAGAGTGAAAATACTATTTAGATGCAAACTTCACATGGAGCCTTTGATGAGACAACTAAAACCAGCCACCTGTGGAGTGTTACACCCACGAGGGGGGCAGAGATAACATGACCAACACCTTTAAGATAATGCAGTCTACAAACATTATAATACCACAGTGACACCGCTCTTCTAACATACAGTCTAATTAAACGGCATGTAGTGCATTACTTTGTAAAGTGCTCTGTTATTTTGACCCTACATATCTGCCTCTACTGAAGGAGTTAAACGAATAATTACTGATTTAATATCAGATTTTTGGCCCCAGTTTTCCAATCATTCATTGGCACAGTTCATTTCCGTGAACCCTGCCAATCCTAGACAGTCACATACTGCCTCAAATGGTTATAAGTCAGTTAAGCACAAGCAGTGAACTAATATATCCTCTACTGGAAACATTCATCTGTTGTTCTGATTGTGAAGCCATTTTTTAAGAACAATTTTCTCTTTTTTTGACATCCGTTCTTCGCTCTGCCCCGTCTGCCTCCAACCTCATCAGCCATCAGCCACCTTGGGCCGAGCTCGTCTCCTTCTATCCTCTCCGTTAGCCTATCTCAGCAGCTGGTGCAGCCCCAGCTCCTGGTCCCGTCCCCCCCATCATCCTGCCCCCTGTTTAGGTTGATGGTTCCCCCTGATGCCTCAGGGGGCTGGCTGAGCACCAGGGGCTTCTGAGACTTCAGCTTATGGGCGACTGTCATGAAAATAGCCTCGACATGGTCACTATTTCCATAGTTTCTGTCTCCTTGGCTGTTGGGATTCTTTGCAGATGTCTCAAACAGCGGCATGGAGTGGGCGTCTGCGAACTGTTGAGCCAAGTCCGTGTTTACTTGCACGGAGTCTTGGAGGTCACACTTGTTTCCGACTAAGATCCTGGGTACCTCTGTGCCCAGTGCATGCTGCTTGCACTCTTCGATCCAAGCAGGGAGGCTGTGGAAGCTGGCAGCGTTGGTGATGTCATAGACAAAGACAACAGCGTGCACGTTGCGGTAGTAGTGCTGCACCATGGACTTCCTGAAACGCTCCTGGCCTGCAGTGTCCCACAGCTGGATCTGTACGAGACAATACAGAAGTGAAATCCTGCCAGAAGACAAGCAGTGATGTCATTTACTCACAAATTACATTCATTATTATAATAAGATTATTATTATTATACCGTTTTTCTAATCTTACTGACTGCTCCAAGTGGTTTTAGTTAGAACAGTCCAAACTAGAACTGTGTTTTTATCCATATTATTGTGTCACTAAGTTCTACTGTCAGCCAAAAACCATTACAAACACAACACTGACACACTGTTTCTACATTGTTGCAGGTCTCATGATCTGTGCATCAGTATTAGAAATTAGGGAAGAGTCAGTTAGTCTTGAAATGTGGCTGTCATTGTTAATGCCAGTTAACTGAATTAACTGCCAACTGGAGATACCACAGCAGCTGTTCTTATTGTATTACTTCCTATGATGACGTATGTGTCGCTGGCACTCCTGTAGTGCAGTGCCTGCAATTGTGCAGCCACAGCAAATGAAGCCCTTTACGATCACACTTATGCAACACAGAAATCCAAATATCTGTGCAGATCATTGATGCAGCTAGCTCATTAACTGAAATACCTGGTCTAAATATGTGTTCAAAGTTCTTTCTCTTATAAAGACCCCCCCCCCCCCCCCCCCAAAAAAAAGGTCAGATTAAGTGGTACATTGTTCTAAAGTGAGCGCAGTGGAATAGGCGAGGTTAAACATTGGCCACACAAACATACATTTGAGTGGATTTAGGAGCCATTAAAATCTTTGATAATCAAGTCATGTTTTAAATGTTGTAGGAATGTGTGGCACTTTGTAAATATTACTGAAAACAGATTCGTTTGTAAAGAGTGGCTAATGTTAGCAAAGCTAGCAACAGCAACCTTTCCTTCTTTACAGGCTCACAACTGTACAGACAAAATCAACATGGTGTGGACCAAATTGTTGAGGCAGTAGAGTGCAGTAAAAAAAATTAGAATCACAATTGACAGAACATTTTACTCAACTCGATTAACATTCTTTTATACGCTTGTCTTCCTGCATGGTCAGTGACTGTGTAATGCTTATCTATAGCCATTTTCCACTAGTACCTACTCCGGTCGGCTCGACTCGACTCTGTTGTTAGGGTTTTCCATTAGCTGGTACTACCTGGTACAAGATACCTTTTTAGTACCTTCTCGGTTGGGGTTCCATACCAGCCAGGTGGTCTGAAAATGTGACGTCAACAGACTGCATACCAAATATTGGCTAGTCAGTGGCACCACTTCTAAAACCAGATCAAAGTGAGGTTATTGTACTTGCTCCTAAAAATCTTAGAAATATGGTCTCTAAGCAGGTTCTTACTCTGGATGGCATTACCTTGGCCTCCAGTAACGCTGTGAGGAACCTTGGAGTCATTTTTGACCAGGACATGTCCTTCAAACAAACTTCAAACAAATATGTAGGACTGCTTTCTTCATTGTGTGTAATATGTGCACCAACATCTCTAAAATCAGAAATATCCTGTCTCAGAGTGACGCTGAAAAACTAGCTCGTGCATTTATTACTTCCAGGCTGCACGACTGTAATTCATTATTATCAGGAAGTCCTAAAAACTCACTGAAAAGCCTTCAGCTAATCCAAAATGCTGCAGCAAGAGTCCTGACAGGGACTAGAAAGAGAGAGCAGATTTCTCCTGTTTTGGCTTCCTGTTAAATCCAGAATTCAAAATCCTGCTCCTCACATACAAGGTCTTAAATAATCAGGCCCCATCTTATCTTAATGACCTTGTAGTAGAGTTGGATGTCTCGAGACTGGTCTTGGTCTTGAGAAAACTTTTACGTGGTCTTGGTCTTGTCTCAGTCTTGCTGTCTCAGATCGACATAGTGCTCCAATCCCTCCATATTGTGGCCAATCACATGCGAGGATATAGGATAATATCATTATGTGAAAAACAGAGAGGGTGAGAGACGCGACAGTCAAGTGGAGCGTGCGTCTGTCCTCTCGGTAAGTCTTGGTATTGGTCCTGGTTTAGGCGGTCTTGACTACAAGTCTACCTTATAGTAACATATATTTTTTAAACCTGGCAACGAGGCTTTATAAATAACAACGTGGCCCCCACATGTGACAAATAGCCATAGACTAAGCAATAGGTATATCATTGCTCAACGTCCTCCATTGTTGTGGTGTTCACAACAAATGACATCACAGGACTTTTGGCCAGTTCGTGGACGAGTTGAAAATTCCGACTTCAACTGGAAAACACTACATGATTTAAAGGAGACAGAATTTAGAAAGAAAAGATGGGCAAGAGTACTTCAATTAGATCTTCTGAATGTTGGTTTTCATTTAATATCGATTAAGTGCCCATGGCTGATGTCACGATGACTACGTCCATCGTTTATATACAGTCTGTAATCACTTGCCTACAGATGAGAACTTGTAACAAGGATTAAATAGTGCTGTTTCAAAGTGACCATCCAAATGATCCTAATGACCTGCACATCAGGGTTGGTATCCAGTGAGGTCGAAGTAAAACATGTCCCAAGTACTACAGAAGGCATTTTTTACATAGCTGCTGCAGTGGACCTGATCAGAGGCCCACTGATAAGACCTGCCACTAGCTGTCAATCACCATATAGCATAAACCGTTTTGTGTTGTCGTTGAACCTTGAAGTCCAGCCAAGACACCCTGAGGAACTGGATGTGTAACAATGAAGCTCCTCTGCAGTACACACCTTGATATTTTCGCCGTCAATCTCGACCAGTCTCTCCCTGAAGTCCACCCCGATCGTGGCCTCGGTCTTCTCGGGGAACTTGCCGGCACAAAAGCGGTAAGTGAGACAGGTCTTCCCGACCCCGGAGTCCCCGATGACGATGATTTTGAAGATGCGGGTCCTCGGCGGTGGAAGACTGGAGCTCGTCAGGGAGCTGGAGAATTCAGCTGACGACCCGCTCTCCGCCATATCACAACGAAGAGCTGGACGACTCTGGGCCCAGTGTCCACTAGCTGTCAGTTATCAGGCTCCACTGCAGCTACTGCTCGGTCTGAACTCAGGCGGTTACAGGACGAGAAGAGCAGCTGCTGCGTGAGCCATCTTTAGAAAATGTCAATGTATACACTGATCTTTGTCTCTAAACGAGCGCATCCCTGTAAACACTCCTATCCGCAGCCTACCTAGGAAGACACGTTCAACGTAGTCCAAACAACGTGGCGTCTCGCGAGATTGTATTTTACGTGAGGTTCATGTCCAGTGAGAAATAATGTAAAAATGAACTTCATATAAGAAACCTCTAATCACTAAAAAAGGACACTGAATTTAACCGGTCATCCATGAGCTGTGTGGGAAATGCATAAAGATTGGGATCACTGAATTACGTCAGAAATCTTGAAGGGACAAAAACAGATAGCAGAGGATGGTTTCGATCCATCGACCTCTGGGTTATGGGCCCAGCACGCTTCCGCTGCGCCACTCTGCTGCAGCTGAAGACAGTTGACTGTTACGTGTATTCGTTTTTAAAAAAAAGCATAAAAAAGGACTAGGTTTAATTTCCGAGTTCAGACTCCGCTTCAGGTCCCAAAGTCAAACACACACTGCGGCATCACTGAGAGTTAAAAACTGTCTAAATTCTTTCATTTTTAATAAAATGATCAGTGTGGCTGATCTTTTTATTTAATGACCATTCGAGCTCGAATGCACATTGGATGTGCTTTTGGCAGACTGAAAGCGCGGTTCGGGGCATTGTGGACATTAATCTAAATGCCCCCGCGCGATGCTTGGGTTTGTTTAGCTAAACGGCCCTAAACTGTTTCCCATTCATTCTCTATGGTAGCGCTAAAGCACTACGGGTGTGATATATTTTTGGCCACTACGGTCTTCCGGCGCTGTTGCGAGTTTGAGATGCGGCGGCACTTTGAAAAAATCTCCTCTTTTACGTTTCGGGAGAGAAAACAAGTAACTCACCTCTCGCAACACATCCCAACGCTCCTCATTCATTGATCAAAGGTAAGAAACGTCGTTTGAAATAAGAATAAACAAACAGAATACATTTACAGCTGTATATTACAGGTAATAGGCGTGTTGCGATTGCATTTACGAAGCATCCATGGCTTAGTTAAATAAATTGCGTGTTTCATTGACGTGTTTTACTGTTAAATAAACTTTGTAGGTTTCTGACTGCTGTGACACTGACATTACTATAATGTGGTACAATTAAATAACCGATAAGTGTCTTGTTATGAGATGACATGCTAAATGACTGAACCTGCTTAAAAAATGTATTGCTTTCATCTTGTAATGGGCAGTAATCTTATCAATGCGGAAGTCTGTCTTGATATCTCTCTAACATGAGCAATGCCCACTCGTGTATGAATAAACACGATAGCTTAAATAGATATGTTGATAATCTACCAGCAATTCTTATGTGCCATGACTGCTAAGCAGTTATCACAAATTTTGCAGATAATCATTCAACCATGAAAGGTTTTTATTTACAGACAGAACAGTTTGTTATACCTGGAGGAAAAAACAATTTTATCGCAAATGTTGTCAATGTTCTTTCAAATTGTGTCTCGTTATTGTTCTCCTGCATCCTGCTGTCTAAACCAAGCAGCAAGATTATAACCTGGAATGTCTTTGTTTCTGTTTGGAATCAATTTTGTTTAATATAATTGTTTATTTTTTCACTGCATGTCAAGATGCACAAAGGTTTGTTGCGCCATATCCAGGGAAAATCTCTGTGGCGTTCCGCAAGAGGCCACTTGGATACCTCGTCAAAAGAAGCTCGACGGATTAAAAATGACCCCAAGCTTCAGGACAAGTCTGCACCTGTGAGGGAAGACGATGCTCTGACTGTCATCTATCAGAGAGGAGGCGATGCCTCCAACATGAAGGAAGTGCAGGGAGAGTACATCCTGCAGTTTGGAAAGTATAAAGGGAAATCTTTCCGGTGGCTTCTGGAGAATGATGTCGGGTACACCATGTACCTGATCAAAGATCTCAGGAAAGAAGTGGATGCAGGGACCTCTTTGGAAGAAGGGCATGGCAAGGAGAGCTTGCATTCATTTGTACAGTATACCCTCAGCTTTGCAGAGATAAAAGCTCTTCTGGACTATGAGGCCAGCAGAGTGAGTGTTGCTGCAGAAGCCTCTGAGGATGATCAGCTGGTTGGCTTTGGCTCATGAGCCAAGAGCACCTGGAAGGAGATTTGGGACGGCAGAGGTGACGGCTATGCAGACCTTATCATGAGGAAGAGCTGCAGTCAAGGAACACGGATGCATAAGCTGCAGCAGTCTGCGCCTGCTTCCACAAATGCTCCAACTAAACCCCTGGGTAAGTTGTTTTAATAATATTTTAATAACAGTGTTGATGTGAAATATAAGTTCATTATATATTTATCTAATTGTTGCCCGCATCATAGGGATGGATGAGGATAAAGACCTGGAGGACGCAATGCTGAGCATGTCACCTGTAAAACTACACATGCAGAGCTGTAAGTACTGCGTTATTACTAAATGTCAGAAGCGATAATTGCTAAGTCTGTTTCTGTCTCATATGTCCCTGTCCTCTGTCTCTGTATAACTAGTCACTGTGCCAGCAGCAGCAGGGTCCACACCCAGAGGAGCTTCAGGAGCAAACACAGGTTTTCAAATGAAAGGTTTCAGAACTGGAGTACAATTGTTTTACATAATAATAATGGATTGGATTTATATAGCGCTTTTCAAGGCACCCAAAGCACTTTACAATGCCACTATTCACTCACTCTCAACACTGGTGGAGGCAGCTACAGGTGTAGCCACAGCTGCCCTGGGGCAGACTGACAGAAGCGAGGCTGCCATATCACGCCATCGGCCCCTCTGGCCAACACCAGTAGGCGGTAGGGTAAAGTGTCTTGCCCAAAGACACAACGACCAGGACAGAGAGCCTGGGGATCGAACCGGCAACCTTCCGGTTACAGATACGCTTCCCAACCCCCTGAGCCATGGTCGCCCATAATTGCTCTCCAAAGCTGAGCCTGAACTTTTATATATTGTCTTGTTCTTGTTTTGTGTGTTCTGGCCACGTTCTGGCGATGTTCCGCTAATAGTATAGTTGTATGCTGGTGTTAATAGGAAAATTGTACTTAGTAGTCAGTATAATCTTTTAATGATATAAGTTTGCATATGGTAGAATGCTGCATGTAATTATTTGTGTGTAGAAGTATATAGTTGGTGGCATATTGAAAGAATGTCTCATCCTAGGAGGTCTGTAACATTCTAGGGTGTTCACCCCCACATCCTAGGATCATGGGAGAGGTCGTACCTTGTCTTATTGTTTTACGGTAGGATTAACGTAGCTATGTCAGTTTTAGTCTAAGTGCTTTTTGGTTTGATGAACTGCTGGACTTCGAGACCAGCAGGTTTAGGGAAGTTGTTTATGGGGCCACACTCTGACCACACACACACACACACACACACACACACACACACACACACACACACACACACCTCCACATTCCAATGTAAGGAACAAACGCTCACTGAAGTATAAATAAAGACCGGGGCAGTTTCTCAGCGCGAGTCTCTCAGTCTGGAGGCTGCCCTTGCTAGCAAGAAGTTCTGTGTGTTTCTCTTCTCTGAGTCTTTACTGAAGAAGTGTTTTAGAATATATTTCTTAACAGCTGGCATTATGCTAACTGTCCTGAGGACTCAACCACAAAGGGTGAGTATGTGTTCTTGTTCTCTATGAATGTGTTAAAAACAAGTAGCAGTAGTTACTAACACCTGAATGCATGTTGTTCACTGACTTATACCGCTCCTCCTGCTTCGATGAGAAGAGGTTAAAATGATTTGGTTTGGCATCTCGGTTGCATATAAATAAATTACATTTGTTCTGCAATGAGAAACAGGAGAAGTAAGAGTATGGATGTGTGAGTTCCTACTAACAGCAACACTCACATACAGTGTAAATTATGAAGCTGCTGACACGTTTTCTTGTTGTAGTTCCATCTGCTGCACTGTCCATACCACCGTCCAGTACAACTGCAGAACCTCAGGCATCATCAGCCGATGGTACAAAACAACTATAATGTTTTTCATATAATTAAATGTTCTGTTTATTGTGTCTAGAGTAAAAAAATGTTTCCATTACTCTTTTCGATTACTATACCTGTAGGTGCAGCCTCAAGTGTGAAGAGGAAGTCACCTGCGCCCCTCCCACAGGAGCTGGCATTTCTACTTAAGGAGACCACAGGTCAGTGAAACAGAAAGGTCTGAGTCAAATCCTGGTCCCTCTCTATTTTCATTTACAGTTGATGTTCAGTTAAACGTCTGCTTAAAGCATAGATCATTAATGATAGCATATTATTCACGCTCAGGTTACATTTTGTCATCTTGCTCATAATTTGCACAAATGAATTACAGAATGACTGCATTCATTTGTTTCAGGACCGAGTACAGATGCTGCTTCCACATCTGTGTGCAAAGTGCTGACTTTTGAAGACAGCAGTGAAGATGGTGAGCGTATACTGCATGTCTTTTATTTTTTTCTGTGTATTCCAACAGTAACAATATAAGAGTAGCACTGTTTTGTCAAATATTTACGTTTCAATCCCAGATCCTTCAGCTCAGCCAGCTGTTCCAGTTCCAGTGGCTGGTTATGAGTATGACCTCAGCAGCTGGAATTGTTCTACTCACCAGCAGCTGTGGATGAAGACTGAGCTTCAGGACCTTGGACTGTGGCCTGGGTCTCGACCAGTGCGTCACACAGGGAACGCGACTTCACTCTGGCGTCTCCCTCCACAGCCTGAGCTCATAGATACAGTGGCTGACCTACCATCGCCAAATTTCTTCCAGCTCCACCCCTTCTTCAGCCTTCTTCTCCAACCTGAGAGTGTTAGTGCTATCATGGTCAGGTTAAGAAACAATTATATCTTGCCATGTCTCCATGATTGCTTTGGTTCACAAGTGGTCTCTGCTGGTGTGGGCAGGCCACGAGTAATTGTTGGCACCAGTGGTCAGTATTACATCCTGTCCTCACGACTCTGCTGCAGGGCTTGTCGCAGGAACTGGTTTGCTGACAATCCACGATGGCTGGAGAAACTGCCCAAAAGGTTTACCAACCTTCTCCCTGCTTTTCTTACATATAAAAAGGCCATCTGCAAGTCTGTTATGTATAAGCTCAGGAGGACTGGGAAATCTCCAGCAGATATTGCAAAACAATTAAATGAACTCATGCACCTCAAGTACGAGCGAGCTCACCTGGCGTACCTCCATGCCACAGAATCGGTCTGGGATTCTGAGGCAGGAGCCCATGGACAGAGGACCATTGGGAAGTTCCTGAGGAAGGAAAATAAGCCACAGGAGTTCAGGTCTTATGAAGACCCACATGCCTGGTGTGGTGTTTCTGTGTCCAGCCATTACCTGACTGACTGCCTGCTCGACGAATTCCGACGTCAACATCCAGTCATATCCAAACTCATCCAGGCCACATCTTCAGGTCTGACCACACCAGGAAGGTGGCACGAAAAGTCACGCTGGCATCTGGGGTCATGTCCAGTTATTACATAATGAATGAAAACTGGCTGAGTGTTTCGTGGGTCATGGTTCAGTCTGAGACAGAAAGGTCTCAGACTGAACCATGTACCAGGGAATGGCCAAAAGGTACAGTGATGCAGGAGTGGAAAAGGCCGGCTACCACTGGTACCAGTGGACCCGTTCCACTGCCTGAGGCGAGTGGAGTGAACCTCTGAGCATCATCCTCTGTTCAGCACTTTCTGCCAGCTTCTCTCTGCTGCATTCTCAGTGGTTGATCAGGCGGACCTGAAGAGGCTCCAGGATGCTTATAAGTTTTGTGGCATCCATCCTGCTAATCCCACAAAGCAACACATATGGGAGCACTGCAGGATCCAAATACCACAACCCACTGAGCTGCTGAACAGAGCGGAAAAGATCCTGAATCATTTTCACCTGGCCACAGACCCCAACAATGTCCCACTCTTCAAGCCATCCATGCTGAAGACGTGGTGCATTCAGAGAGTCCACATTCTGCGTGGCTGCCTCAGTGACCCTGAACTCTCAGAGGGTGTAATGTTTAGGTACGGTGGGACTCTTCAGCTTAACCATGTCCCTGGTGAAGGTGCCAAGGTCCCCATCTGGATTCCTGTCCGAGGCACTTCACAGCAGGAGGGTTATCATTTCCACCAGGCCCAGTGGATTACCGGGACTCATGTATCCAATGAACTATTCCAAGTCCAGGGCATGACAGGGGTGGCACGATGGAACTACCAAAGACTGGTGGACCTTAAGCATCCAGGTGTCATTCTCCCTTCTGTTTTTGATCCAGCTCTAGTGGTGGAGTTGAATGCAGCCTCCAGAAGAGTGACTGATCAGGAGAAGTACCCTGCACTTCACCTCTCTGACAGAGACACTGGAGAGCGATTTGGGCTTGAACACAGAGAGCCAGGCTGCCGTCCAGTCCCTCTGAACTGGGACAAACACAAAACCCTGAGAAAAGATGAACCGGCTGCCCTTCAGCCCCCATCCTCTGTTCCAAAACCTGTGGCTGCCCAACTTCAGGTTCCAGCAGCAGGACCCTCCTCCAGCCTGGCACCGCTAGGTGTGGCATCCCCCACACCAGCACCACCTGTCACCCACCCTTTCTCTGGTGCACTTTTAAAGCAGGAGTTAGCATCAGAAGACACCCAGCAACCTACAACAGTCATGGGTAAGTTAACATAGTGGTATTGTCAAACAATTCCGTGTACTTACTATTATTATTATTAATGTATACGTTATTATTATTAGTTCATTACATGATATATGAGTAACTATTATTAATGTTTCCCAGAAATCTCTGAAGCTCTACCTCTGCCGATGCGGGCCTCACCAAGGAGTGCTCGCACTGGACCTATAAAGACAGGTGGACGGGTTTTTGTGCTGGACCACACATGCTGGACACGACCCATGAAAGAGGCAATAGATGATCTGTTGCAAAAGTACCATGGGAAGAAGGACATCCTGAAGCTTGTGGATCAAGATTATGCAGACATGGTCCATCACTCGGCTACAGATCCCAACAGCCTGCTGCGTCCCACATCCAAGGTGCACATATCCTGGTAGTTGAAGCACTTGGCTAAGCTTCTCAACACCAGTTCATCTTTGAACATAAGCCCAGAAAAACTACTGGAGACTCAGCAGCTGTGGCACTCTTTAACTGAAGGCAGTGAAACAACTAGTGTCCCTGTAATCACCATAGAGCCTGCCGCGTTTAACCCACCTCCTCCTGCCCCGTCTACACCACTGACACAAGTCTCAACAGAGAAGATTGTGGACGGCATCTTAGAAAGGCAACAGCAGCAGCAGCCACAGCAGCAGCCTGAGGGGAAAAAGGGCAGACAAAGACTTGTCTTGCCTGTGGACAGCCCAAGTCTCAATGTGAGACAGATGGATCCACCGTCGATTATTTTTACCAGAGAGGGCCTGTGCGCTATTTCTACAGTTCCCACAAGGTGCATCAAACTTATGCTGCTGAGGGAATCACTAACCCTAAAATGACCTTTGAGGAATTTGCCCAGACAGACTTTTTCCAAAGGGAACTGGATGCTACCAGGAAGAGGTCAGAGGAAAGGATGGAGGAAAAGAGGAAAAGGCCAGAAACCCAACTAACAGGCCGCCTCTGCAGGTTCTGCCACATGAACCTGAAACAGGGCCCAAATAGCCCACATGTTCGCACGGGCTTCCCTGGAGTGGCAGGGAAATATATCTACTGCCCTTCAAAAGTGCACTCTCTGCCCGGGCACAAGGGCTTGGCCAAGGGGATGACCTGGAAGGAGTTTCAGGAGTCTCCTTTTTATGAGGCAGAGAGACAAAGATGGGTGGAAGAAAAGAGGAAATAGGGGAGAAACTGTTGATATTGTACATAATATAGTTTTGTTCTAGTTTTGTAATGTTTATTTTGTTTATATAAATAAAAACTGATTGTAAATATAAAAATGTGAATAAATTGTGTTCTTTAAAAATAGCAGCACAGCTCTCTTCTTTATAACCTCTTAGAGTTCACCTGTATGTTTACATATCTGTGTAAGCTTACCATCAGGTAATCAGTTTTAAGAAGCTGTGAGTGCTGCCCTGAAAGCTTACATAATATTTCTAAATCACTTCATGTAATGATAACAAGCCATCCTTTCTCTAGTGAGGCCTCACAGCTTTTATCTTTAAAATCTTTCTGGTTGATTTATATCATTAGAAACATGACTGCTGTCTTGTATCTGTGTGACTGTACAGCCTATTTCAGACATGACAACCAGACAGTGTCTGAAGTTATCTTTAATGCATGAAACACAGCTGGAGATAGTCCAGACACTTTCTCACTGATATTTTTGGTTTAGGTATTGTTGCTTTCTGGCTTGAAGCTTATCTACAAAAGCAGTTCAATAAGGAGAGATCATGTGGAAAAACCGAACATGATTTATTGAGATACAGAAATCAATGTAACTGTTAGGAAGTTAGACTCCAATGACCCATCATAGCAGAAGAAATCTCAGCAGTGACAGGATTTTACACAAGCCACACCCCAGAGTCAAAATGCTGGTAGTGATGAAGATGGAGGCTGGGACAGGGTTCTGAGTGACCACGGTGAGGAGGAGAAAGGAGAGAGGGCGGGCTGCATGGCTGTGGATCTGAAACGCAGAATGGTAGAAGCAGAAGAGCAACAGATTTAAAGCATGCAGAGTGGAGGCTGAGTTGCTCGGAGAAGATCTCTGTCTAAATAAATAAATCTGGGTAAATTCCCAGATGATTAAACATGCAACTATTTTGTTGGTAATAACTGAAATGAGTAAAGAAAATCAACAGCCTATTTATGTAAGATAAGATAATTTTATTGAAGAGGTTATATTGGTTGGGTCTGATTATTTGGAGGGGGGGGGGGGGGGGGGCTGTAAATTACAAGGAAGACCTCTTACACTTAAGTCAAAGTGCTGTTTTGAACAAAGGATTTGAGCTGCATAATAGCTAATAGAAAACATTTAACATGCCAACAGTTGAGCATACAGATGCAGCCCCAAAAGTTCCCAACATAAGTTATTAATTTCCCAGCATAGGTAACGATGCAGATTATTTCAAATATCATCCTCCAAAAGTGCTTGTGTGAAGAAAAATTGCCCTGCTCCCTGCAAAGGTAGGGGTGGGTAGGGTGTGCTGCTTGGCAGCTCAGTTATGGTACTGTTGGGTGGAAATGAGCCAGGTACAGCGTGTGGTGGTGGTGCACATGCATAGATGTGCCCACCATGGTGTGGTGGCAGGTTGAAAGGTTGTGGTGGTGGATGCATGACTTGTCTTAGCAGTAAAAATCCATCTGCAACTGAACTTGTCTCTCAAGAGTGACTTATAATTTACTGTGATGTTCAGAAGCTCGCCTCTCAGATGTCTCCATCATATCCAGAATTCTTTTCTTCATCTGTATGTCCACCTCTGCAACATTACGCAAATGTGTTTCAGTTGAAAGTCTTCTTTCAAGTCTGTCCTGTCTGTGGCCCTTGAGTTTTGCCTTGACAAAAGGTAGAATAAAACAATGAAAAACTAATTAACCACAATAAATGTTAAAAATAAATCAGTGGTGGAATACCAAGATTAATATTTACTTAAGTGCTACACTTAAATATTTTAGGTTAAGTGTTCTCTTTTCCTATACTTTTAACTCTACAACATTCTTGAGGTAGGGATTCAACACCAACACAGTTACACTGCAGATTCAGATGAATATAAATCTGTCATTATGATGACTTCGTGTAGGTTAAGCTACACAGTAGTTAAAGAAATGAAGCCGAGCTGTATCATTACTAGGTCAAACCTAAAGGTGCTAAAGGCATCTATAATTGGGCTACTGAAATACAGTAGGGCATTCGTTTATACATGTATGGTAGGCTAACCTTATTTCCCCTGACAAGTCTCCCAGTCCACGTTTTCTTGTTTTGTTTTTTTTGCTGTTTCATATTCCAGTGTGATATTGAGGAATAATTCCACCTCACTGTCTGTCACATACGACTCAGTTCTGCTTCTATGCGATGTCTTATCGGATTTTGTGCTTTTTTACCTAAATGTGCTATTTGGCTATACTGACTCTAGTAGGAAAGACTCGAATGCTTTTTAGTTCTCAAGTAAGAAGCCAAACTTTTTATATTTGTTGTTATTGTTCTTAAGAAATAAAGTTGGAAGTAAAAAAAAGTTCCACCGTCTTTGTTGATGCTTTCCCGCCCTGGCTTCAAGACTTCCGATTGGCCAACATTTCTGCAAGGTTAGGATTATATCGCCACCTGTTGCTTTGGCGTGCTCATTACAGCGTTTGCCTTTGTTTTTGTTTTGTTGGAGGGGGGGTTACGCGTGGACTGAGATATTTTTCTCAAAACTTCACGTGTGGACGGGATTTTTTTAAAACGGAAACGGAAAATCTCTGTTTTCAAAAATACCCGTGTACGTGTGGACGTAGCCTAAACAGTAGAGATGTTTGTAGCTTTACGTTAGCTGGACTGACCGGAAGCAGGGTCCATGCGTCACGACTAACCGGATAGAGTTTTGAATCGGTTTAGTCCTGCACGTGCTGGCAAAAGGGAAGGCAAGAGAAACGATCTCCTGGCCGCATAAGGAAATCTATTTAAATATCCGTGATATCCAGTCATCATGAACTCTGAGTACGAGGATAGCTCCGCGTTATCCCCCGTGGAATCTGGGGACGAGGAGGAAGAGGTATCGGAGGCAGAAACAGAGCAGCTGGGGTCCAGTTCCGACTCGGATGAAGATGAAAGCGAAGAGAAAATTGATGAAGCAGCAGCGGCCGGAGATGAAAACGGAGAGAAAATTGATGAAGCAGCATGGACGTCAAAAAATGGAAAAATATCTTGGTCTCCCACAAACGCTGAGACGTTCCGCTACATCCCAGCAGCCACTGGTCTGACCCCGGGACCTACACGCTATGCCACTCTCCGAATCGTTGACCCCATATCCAGCTTCGCGCTGTTTCTAACGGATGAGATCGTGAAGCATATTGTGTCCATGACAAACCTGCATGGGAATCGCAAAATTCCCGGCTGGCGAGATATAGACGCAGAGGAGTTTCGGGCTTATGTGGGGCTGCTCGTTTTGTCCGGTGTTTACAGGTCAAAACACGAATCCACGTTGAGCCTCTGGAGTGAAAAATGGGGACGGAGCATTTTCCGGGCTACGATGTCACAGAAAAGGTTTCAGAACATCAGCAGAGCACTGCGGTTCGATGATAAGCTATCCCGCCCCCAACGCCATGTTGACAAGATGGCTCCCTTCCGCAAAGTCTGGAATATGTGGACGCACCGCCTGGAGATGCTGTTCAGCCCAGACAGAGATCTCTGTGTGGATGAACAACTCGTCGCGTTCAAAGGCAGGTGTAGTTTCAGGCAGTACATGCCAAAGAAGCCGGCCAAATATGGTATCAAGATTTGGGCAGCCTGTGATGTCAAAACATCCTACGCATGGAGACTGCAGGTGTACACGGGCAAAGCAGCTCCAGATCGTGTTGAAGTCAACCAGGGGATGAGGGTGGTCCTGGACTTGACAGAGGGGCTCCAGGGACACGTCGTCACCTGTGATAATTTTTTCACTTCCTGTGCACTGGCAGATGAGCTACTCAAGAGGAAAATGGCCCTGGTTGGCACAATTCGCCAAAACAAGCCTGAGCTTCCACCTCATTTGCTCCAGGCAAAAAAGAGAGAGATCTTCTCCTCTATCTTCGCTTTTACAAACACCCACACACTTGTGTCTTACATCCCCCGACGGGGCAAGAATGTGCTGCTACTAAGCACAAAACACCGCTGCCCAGACGTGAGCAAAGAAGGGAAGAGAAAGCCTGTAATAATCGAAGATTACAACAAATGCAAAGGAGGTGTCGACAACCTTGATATGGTAGGTGTCATTACGAACCAGTTATGCATATATTTATTCATTCTTGCTCATATTCATGTCTAATATATATGTATGTTTTATGCTTCTTTTTTTTGTTAGGTTGTTGGCACCTACTCCTGCAGGAGGAAACAAATTACTGGCCACTGGCCCTCTTCCACAACGTCCTTGATGTTTCACTTTACAATGCCTACGTCCTGTGGACATCAATCGAGTCATCCTGGCCGAAGCAGAAAGGACACAGACGGAGGGTCTTCATTGAAGAAGTGGGAGAAATGCTGGTGAACCCACACATAGCAAAGAGAGAGCGCCTTCCTCGCTCATCAGCCGCTGCAGCAGTAGTCACAAATCTGACTGCAGCGGCTTCATGGACCGCTCCCATCATTCAATGTAAGAGCAGGAGGCAGTGCGAACTTTGCAAAGAAAAAAGGAGAAGAGTTGTCAACGCCTGCTGCAAATGTGAGAAGTATACATGCAAGGACCACAGTGTGTCCATTTGTAACGACTGTGCCGTCTGAGCAGGACTCTCACACCCAGACACATACTACCTCTCTCCCTGTCTGTCTCTCTCCCCATCCCCAACAACATAAATGTTCATGTTTATCTTTCTAAAATAAATGTTTTTCTAGTTCAAACTGAGCTTGTAATTTTATTTACGTTAGCAAGGTAATAAACATTTAGTGTGGAAAAAGTGAAAAACATCATATACCATTATAGGTTATGATTATTACATTTACTGTGCCCCTGCAAAAAAAATAATGATGAATCAAAATCAACCTTGGTGCCAATCTAAAGGCCTAATTATAATAGCAGTGAAATCTTTCTCGAAATGTATTTTATGGAAAAAATTTTATTTTTTAAAATAAAGGTTAAAAAATGCCAAACACGCTACGGAGAAGCAAGACAGTCATAAGAGTTAGTTGTCAATACCGGCCACCAGAAGCTGTTTTGATACGGGCAGTTGCCCGGGGCGGCATCGTGGTGAGGGGCGGCATCACCGGCACCGGCAAAAAAAAATGCTCGCACTCATGCTGCCCCGACGTCATGCCAGCGCATAGCGGGGA